CCACCGTTCCCACCCGGCCGTCTCAGGGGGCGTAACAGGAGGCCCAGGGGGCACTGTCCCTTCTCATCGTCCTGTGTCCGTCCTAGGCTTCGCCATATACTTTGGATACGGGATCCGGCACAGCTTGGAGACCAGTGAGCCACAGCCTGCCGCCTCCAGCTCTCACACACGCCTCTAGTGGGATTAGCGTGACCACGGGCGCCGGGTACTGCCTGGCATCTCCTCGCGCTGCAGCCTCTTCCGGTTCCACGGAGCCTCTGAGCCTCTGTGGAGTGTGAAGGTGGGACGCACCCGGAGCCCTGCTCACTGTCCACTTGCCAAGGCAGACACACACACGGACAGTGCACACTGCCGGGCCGAGAGATGCGCTCTCGCAACTCAAGTCGGACAGTGACCCGCCGGCCACCGGAGGAGGAAATGGGATATTCCCCGCACAGAGGGGACCCCCCCTGTGCCCACTTCCAGAGAGAACAGATTGCCCCGTGGGAAGAAAAGACCTGTTTCAACTCCGTGGTGTCAACAGTGCACTTTTGGGGGGTAATTTTTAATTAAAAAAAGTGTTTTCTCAGTTACAGTTGACATTCAGTATTATATGCGTTTCAGATATACAGCATCGTGGTGAGATGCTTACATAATTTATGAAGGGATCCCCCTGACCCGGTAATATTCATTATAATATTATGGACTATGTGCCCGTGTTGTACTTAAATCCCTGTGACTCCTTTGTAGCTACCAGTTTGTACTTCTTATCCCTTCACCCTTTTGCACCCAGCACTGCTCTGTCACACTCCCATCTGGCAATTATCAGTCTGTTCTCTGTATCTCAGAGTCTGTTTTGCTCATTTGGTTATTTTCGTTTTTCAGGTTCCACATATAAGCGAGATCATGTGGTGTTTGTCTTTCTCTGTCTGGCTTATTTTACTTAGCATAATACCCTCCGGGTCCATCCATGTAGTCGGAACATTCTTTGTGTCAAGAGTTGCACTTGAGCCCTAACCGGTTTGGCTCAGTGGATAGAGCATTGGCCTGCGGACTGAAGGGTCCCAGGTTCGATTCCGGTCAAGGGCATGTACCTTGGTTGCGGGCACATCCCCAGTAGGGGGTGTGCAGGAGGCAGCTGATTGATGTTTCTCTCTCATCGATGTTTCTAACTCTCTAATCCTCTCCCTTCCTCGCTGTAAAAAATCAATAAAATATATTTTTTTTAAAAAAGAGTTGCACTTGAAATATTAGGACACAAATAGGTTGGAAGTAGACGAAAAAAAAAAAAATGGATCATACACACAGTAACACAATGCCCCGGCCGGTGTGGCTCAGTTGGTTGGAGTGTTGGTCCAGTAGACTAAAAGGTGGCAGGTGTGGGAGGCAACTGATGTTTTTCTGTCCCTGTTCATCGTCTCTAAAAATCAGTTAAAAATATACATAGATCTGGCGTAGCTGTATTAATATCGGACAAGGCAGGCTTTAATTTCATGATAGAGATAAATGATCATCTTTGCTTCCCTCCAACTTTATTGAGATATAATTGACAGATAACATTGTGTCAATGACCATTTCTCTTTATGTTTCTGCCCAGACTCCTCTTTTTTTTTTTTTTTTTAGTTCGTATTATTTTGTTAATCCTCAGTGAGGATATTTTTCCCATTGGTTTCTAGAGGGGGAGGGAGGGGGGAAGAGAAACCATAGATGTGAGAAATAATTGATTGCCTCCTGCACTTGCCCCGACCTGGGCCAGGGATCCAACCTGAAACATAGGTATGCCCTTGACCGGGAATAGACCCATGGGCAGCTAGATGCTCTGGCCACTGACCACATCAGCTACTTTTTTTTTGTTGATTAGAGAGGGAGAGGGAGAGAGAAACATTGATGTGAGGGGGAAACATCGATCATTTGCTTCTTGTATGCACCCTGACCAGTGGTCAAATCCCTGACCTTTCCATAGACGACAATCCAGCCAACTGAGTCGCACTGGCCAAGGCTGCCGCAGACTCATTCCAAGTTACAACCCAGTGGACGAGAGTTCTTCACCGGGAAATAGCGCTGCTAGAGGCAGGGGGAGGGGCGTGAGAAATGGTGTGCTTGTTACTGGTGCCCGTTGGGTGGAACTAGAAGTTAAACTGGAAAGATGAGAGAGGGTGATGTCACTGCAGAACAGAAACTTGACATTAAGGTTTACGGGTGTTGAAGGTGGTGAGAAAGCAGAGGATTATCTGTGGGAACAAAACGTTGCCACAGAGTGAAGGATAGACCCATTGGAGGGATGAGGTCAAGAGAGGGAGTAGCAGAGTCATTAGGTGGATTTAAAGGAGTAGGACTGACAGACTTCAGAGCCCCGATGAAATGACAGGGTTAGAAAACAGTCATTAAAGGGGAGTAAGACTTAAGGTGGTGGTTTGATGGGAAAGGTGGCCATCACTCGATTCGTATTCTTAGCAGGTGATGTGGGAACAGCGCGGCGGAGCTATAATAGGCCACGCAGAACACTGCCCATAAAACACGCTTCAAACGTTGAATCACAATGTAATCAAGTCTCTAGATCAACTATCAGCTCATAGAAGACATAAGGGACAGTCAATTGCCCACAAAACACAATCAGTCAAACCTACAATGTGGGCGATTCTCCAGTAAAAAGGGTGGCTTGCTTCCTGTAACGAATGATAAAGCCCAGACCAGTGTCAATAGACGCAGCCTAAATATTTACTAAAAATGAGGGACAAGACCTACTATGTGCAGCCTCCATAAAAGCAAGGCAGAGTCCAGCCGGGTGGGCTCTGTGACTCGGTGGTTGAGGGTCAACCTATGAACCAGGAGGTTGTGGTTCAGTTCCCTATCAGGGCACATGCCTGGGTTGCTGCCTCAATCCTCAGTAGAGGCTGTGCAGGAGGGAGTGGGTCCAGGATTCTCGATGTTTCTATCCCTCTCCCTCTCCGAAATAAATAAAGATATAAATATTTAGAAGAAAGTATGGCCCTAGCTGGTTTGGCTCAATGGATAGAGCGTCAGCCTGCAGACTGAAGGGTCCTGGGTTCGATTCCGGTCAAGGGCATGTACCTCCCTCGCAGGCTCCATCCCCAGCCCTGGTCCAGGCGCACATGGGAGGCAACCAATGGATGTATCTCTCTGATCGATGTTTCTGTCTCCCTGTCCCTTCCACTCTTTCTAAAAATCAATGGAAACATATCCTCAAGGAGAGGATCAGCAAGAATAAGAAAAAAAAACACAGCCAAACAGGAAGTTTCATGTGAGACCTGGGTCCCCCGAGGCCACGCCTGTGGCACCTCTGCAGGCCAGTCCCCTTATGCTCCCACCCAACCGTCCGTCTCAGGCTCCTTTGACTTGGGTGTTTGCTCCTTAGCCTGAGTCCTGAGTGATGTCCACTTCCCCGTTTCTTTGTGTCACCTGTCCACTCAGGCAGTGTCCCTGCTGCTGGGCTGTGTCCAGAGGCCTGCCCGGCACTGCCTGTGTCTGCACAGCTTCATCTTATCTCTGTGCCTCCCTCATCCCGCCTCCCTCCGCACACTCCGTCCTCTGTGGCCCTCCTCCCTCTCCCGACAGGAACTTGCCAATTCCTTCTCCTCACTCCCCCTACCTGTATGGAGCAGTTTGGAAGGACAGCACCCACCCCCTTGTTCTCAGGTTCCCACCAGGGGCTCCAGTTATTTCCTCAACATCACCCTTCGCTGTAGGGCTGACCGGCCTCAGACGGCTCAGGTCCCCCCAAGTCTGACTGCTCCCAGCACTCTCCTGGGTCTCTACCCCAGGCCCTGGCCCCTTCAGGACAAGCCTGCTCCCTGCCCGGAGCATGGCCTCCGGTCCCTGTGGCGGGACCGCCAGGATGTGATGGGTACAGTGTGCGGCTCAGTTCCTTCCTGAACAGGCCATGTTTGCATATCCAACAAGACAGCGGCTCATGCGATTTCTATTTTAGCCATTCTGCTGAGCGTCTAGCGACGTGGCGGTTTGCTTTGCATTTCCTGGATGGGAAAGGAAGTTGAACACAATTTCACGTACTTACTGGTGACCTGGTGATCTTCTCTTGATCCATAGTCATTTAAGTCCTCCCCGCCTCTTAATTTATTACTTTTTTATTAAAAATAAAAAAATTTGATGAGAGAGAGGGAGAGAGGAACATTGATCTGTTGGTCTGTAACAGGCAGTTAGACAGACATGAGCACAGCAAGGAAGACGGGCCAGGAACAGGCCACCAGGGCGGGAAGCCCCAGGGCCTAGCGAAGGACATTGTGGGGTGGGACCTCGCCCCCAGCATGTCATTGCTGGTCTCGCTGTTTGGACCCCGAACCTTTCCTCCCTAGAGACGACGTCTAGGCCTCAGTTGTATTTCAGCTCCAGGCCCAGATAAGCAACAAAGGCAGCCACGGCCGAGGTCAGGACCAGCTGCACGGAATAATGACCCATGGCCACAACCCAGAACGGACACACCTGGAAAACTGAATAGTCTTGCGATCTTCTGGGACCGCCCCCAAATCTCCACGGAACACCCTGCAGCTGGAGGACTCGGTGTGGTGTGCTCTCCCACTCAGGAGCCCGTGCCTTCCCCTTCCCTTTCCCCGCCCCTCCCCCCTCCCAAGCTCCAAGGGCCCTTCCTTTACCCCCATAATGCATTTCCTCAGCCCATTTCTTCTAGGAATTACTTTCCTGCCTCTGTGATTGACCAAATAAATTCTCCCCTACAGTTTGGGTCTTGGCTCTGAATTCCTGTTAGGGGGGACATTTTTGGCCAAGGAAAGCAAATATTCCTCCGCCCTATAAACAACCATAACCTCCTGGTTCATAGGTCGATGCTCAACCACTGAGCCATGCACACCAGGCAAGGAAGTGCAACTTATTAACCTTTTTTATGTTTAGCAGCTTCTATGTGCTAAGAAACACCATGGGCCCAGGACTGTGAAAACTATTTTTTTGTAGAAGTTTAATAGTCTTTTCTAAACTTGTTATCCCCACAGGGGGCCTTCTTGCAATAATTCACTAACAGCAACACCGAGGGTAATGACGACAGAAACGCAGCCAATGTTTATTGAGTTTGCACAATATTCCAGATACACTTGCAGGGAGTTCCACATACCAGACTTGTCTAATGGCCCACGGGCAGTATCAGGTGGCTGTCCTGATTTCACAGATCCGCACAGGGGTTAAAGGTCATTTCCCCCGAGGCACAGTAAGGGGGGGCTGAGGATGACAGCTGTGGCGAGGAAAGGCTATTGCACGTATGTTACATCAGCAGTTATCCCCCAGAATGAATCTGAAATGAAATCAAAAGGTCCTGGGAACCTTCTATGCGTCCATTAACCCATCCAGTAAACAAACTGTCTACACTGTGTATGTTGTAATCGGGGAGGAAAAGTGACTTCTCGTCTCCAAACCTGCCTCTCGCAGGACTATCCTGAGATTCTGGAAGGAGAGTGGCCGGTGACGACTTCCTTATGTTAAATCGTATCACGAATTTGCCTCGTGTTGTGGAAGAAACGAGTGCTGTCTAGAGGCCTCTGAACATTCTTTGTCTTCGAAAGGTTTGCCCGCGGCGTGGAGCCCCTGGTGTCCTCTGTAATGGTGTGCGTGGCCACACGCCTCTCCACAGTCCTGACACTCGTGGGGCTTCGCACTGCTGTGCACTCTCTGATGCTGTGTGAGTTGGTGGCCGTGGCTAAAGGCTTTCCCACACTCTTTGCACTCGTAGGGCTTCTCTCCGGTATGAATCCGCTCGTGTTTCACCAGGCTGGACCCATAAATAAAGGCCTTCCCGCACTCCTTACATTTGTAAGGCGTCTCGCCAGTGTGGATTCTCTCGTGCTGGGTCAGGTGATAGCCACAGTTGAAGGCCTTCCCACATTCCGTGCACTTGTATGGCTTCTCCCCCGTATGGATTCTCTGGTGTTTCACGAGGCTGGAACCCCAGCGGAAGGCCTTCCCACACTCCTTGCATTCATGAGGCTTCTCACCAGTGTGAATTTTCTGATGCTGAGTAAGGTAATTGACACGGGTAAAGGCCTTCCCGCATTCTTGACATTCGTAGGGCTTCTCGCCCGTGTGAATCCGTTTGTGCTGAGCCAGGCTGGAGCCGCAGATGAAGGCCTTCCCGCAGTCCTTACACTCGTAGGGCTTCTCGCCGCTGTGAATCCGCTTGTGCTGAATGAGCTTGTACACGCGGCTGAAGGTCTTGCCACAGTCCTCGCACTCATAGTCCTTCTCGCCCGTGTGGAACCTCTGGTGCTGCGTGAGTTCGTCGCCGCGGCGGAAGGCCTTCCCGCAGTCCTTACACTCGTAGGGCTTCTCGCCCGTGTGAATCCTCTTGTGGATGACGAGGCTCGAGCCCCAGCGGAAGGCCTTCCCGCAGTCCTTACACTCATAAGGCTTCTCGCCGGTGTGAATTTTCCGGTGCTGAGTCAGCTGGTTACCCCAGCGAAAGGCCTTCTTACACTCTTTACACTGGTAGGGCTTCTCGCCCGTGTGGATTTTCTGATGCTGAGTCAGCTGGTAGCCACGGCTGAAGGCCTTCCCGCACTCCTGGCACTCATAGGCGTTCTCCCTGCGAGGAGGTCTCTGGGGCGGCCTGACCGAGGCCTCCTCCCCGGCGGGCGCTTTCGCACGGCTGGTTTTCCTTCGGTTGAGATACCCCCCTGGAGGGCCCCGCGCCCCTACTAACTCACCTTCACACACCCAGTCAAGGCCGAGGGACTTGCTTTTCCCGTCCGAGTTCCACTTGGAGAAACGCATCTCACAGATGCCCTTTTCTGTAGGTAAGTTCTTGGTCTCATGGGGTGACTCCAAATCTAGAGGAAAAAACACCACATTTTGCTTCCTTTTAGGAAAAACAAAATAAACAAACAAAGCAAACGACAAACCAAAAACTTCTCTAGTAGAAATAAAACTTCTGCCCGGCCGGCGTGGCTCAGTAGTTGAGTGTCGACCTAGGAACCAGGAGGTCACAGTTCAATTCCTGGTCAGGGCACAGGCCCGGGTTATGGGCTGGATCCCCAGTGTGGGGCGTGCAGGAGGCAGCCAATCAGTGATTCTCTCTCATCATCGATGTTTCTCTCCCTTCCTCTCTGAAATCAATTTAAAAATATATATATATATATACACACACACACTGTATATGTATGTATTTTAAAAAAGCTTCTCTAGTAGAATAAATATGAACCAACTAGACCCTTGGTAACATGTGCGTGTTTGGTACCACAATATTAATGAATAAACCTGAAGACTATCAGCTACTACTTCCTATCAGCAGACACGAGTAAGCACCAGACACCAGAGGGGAAACCTGGGAATTAAAGACGAAAAGCAGCATACTTTGTACATGTGGTGATGACACACCTGGGCAACCCAGGAAAATCAAGTTTATAACCACCTAGACGTCAAAGTCACAGAGACTTCAAAAAGAGAGGAAGGGTTAGAGAACCAACAGGTGGACCGACAGGTAGGGACAGGTCTCATTTTAAACTTCTGAAGGCCTTCTCCCTGGTGGCAAGTAGAACGTGGTCGCTGGCAGCATGGATTTGGGCCAGAATTCTTCCGTTCAGTTCTTGTCCTGCCTCCTCTGTCTGACCGTGTCCTCTGGACCCAGCATACTCATCCGCAAATCACACTTAATCACTGTGTCTATCTCCTAAACTCATGGGAATGAAATGAAGGGTATTTATACAACACATACACACAATGCCTAGTTCAATACCTCGTATACAGTGAGCACAATATTAGCCATAAGGCCCTAGCTGGTTTGGCTCAGTGGATAGCCTGTCGGCCTGCGGACTGAAGGGTCCTGGGTTCAATTCTAGTCAAGGGCACATGCCCAGATTGTGGGCTCGATCCCCAGTGGGGGGTGTGCAGGAGGCAGCCAATCAATGATTCTCTCTCATCATTGATGTTTCTCTCTCTCTCTCTCTCCCTCTCCCTTCCCTTCTGAAATCAACAAAAATATATTTTTAAAAAATTAGCCATAAATATTATGGTTGTTACTTTTCTAACAGAAAAATAAGAAATTTCCTGAGATAATGACAAGATATTATCATCTAATGTTTAACTCAAAGGTCACAGATTTGTAATTTTCAACCTCACTTTGGGCACAATGTGTCGGAAATGGAATATGCTGTTTGTTTTTATGTGAATTCTGCTTGTCAATCCACCTCTATAGAGAAATCAAGTCACCCCAAAGAACCACGACCATTTGGGTATAAACATAACAACACAGTAGGAAGCTTGGTTTTCTTGAAGATGGCTGTGAAATAAATATTCCAGAATTCTAACTAATCCTTTGCTCATGAAGAGAGTGGGAACTACAGGAAGGGCCAGACGAAGGTGGGAAGATCACTGGTGGATGACGAGAGGAAGGTGTGGATGGTCACTTCCAACCCGACAAGGCTCAAAGCACTCCCTGGGAACAGGAAGAAGATTCAACTCATTTCTTAAAAAAAAAAAATTTTTTTTTTACTGATTTCAGAAAGGAAGAGGAAGAGAAAGAGAGAAAGATCAATGATGAGAGAGAATCATTGCCCCGTTGCCTCTGCATATTGGGGATCGAGCCCGCAACCCAGGCACGTGCCCTGACCGGGAATCGAACCGTGACCTCCTGGTTCATGGGTCAACACTCAACCACTGAGTCACACCTGCTGGGCTAAACTCTGTCTCTTGAAAGGCAGCCCTAAAATTCACAAGGGAAGGGGCTGACATTCCCGGGAGCAGAGTGTGAGTTAGATGACTCAGGCAGCTTACCCAGTGAGACCAAGTTACTGTAGTTCTCCAACATCACGTCCCAGTACAGGTCCCTCTGCGTGGAGTCCAGGCAGGCCCACTCCTCCTGGGAGAAGTCGATGGCCACGTCTGAGAACGTCACGGGACCCTGAGAACACAAACCACATGTCCCTGAGGAAACGGAAGGGCAGTTTCAAGACGAAGGAAAGGAGAGGCAGGCCTACGCTCTGGGTAGAGTGGACACAGTGCCTCCCGGAAAGCCGGAGAGATGGGAGGGGACAGTGAGGGCGTGGCCGTGACAGGCAGAATCCCTCCGTGTGACTGCAGAGAAAAGCCAGCTGCACCTGTGCAATCCGGCACCGCAGCCTGCGGAGCAAGGACAGAGCGATCCTGGCTTCCTCCCATTCCCACACACACAGCCTGCCACGTGCCTGCCTCACAGCATTCCTACGGCTTTGTAATGACAGAAAACATTTTTAAAATTCCAACACATGGACAGATTAGACTGCATGATAGTGATTGCGCAAAACAACTCCGGTTGTCCGCAGTTCTGGGAGCATGTGGTCACCTACTCGTCTGTACTGGATGCTCTGATCCATGACCACGCCCCCACTCCCCATCCCCTGTTCCTGACTGAAAGGATGCTGGTGGCAAATGACACAGACACACACAGAGGTCTGTTCAACAAGAGAAGTGGCCTCTCGGGTCCCCTGGCCTCAGCCCCTGCCCTGTCGGATGCTCACAGCCTCAGAGCCTGGGCTGTCCTCACACACTAACCCCGAGGCCAACTGATATGCACACCCCCTCTTTTCTGCCTGGAACAGAGGATTCCTGTGTTCTCCGGTGCTCAAAAGCGTCCAACATCTCCAACTAATCAGACCATGGACCCGAAGCAAATCTTTCTCCCCAGGGACTTTCTTCCTCCATTCCCCCAACATTCCCACTGACAAAACTGGGCATAAGGGAGGTACTGAATCATCAGCACCATGTTCTATGAACGTGGGCCCCGAGGTGGGTGAGGGGCGATGCGGCATCACCACTGACGGAATGGAGAGGACTGGAAGCAGGTCATTGGATGGGGCTCCCTGGGGCAGGAGGCTTGGGGATAATTCATAAAAACCACCACGGGATCCAAATAGCACACTGCGGGGAGGGAAGAGACATACACACTTACGTGGGCCATAGTTTCAGAATCAGGACCCGATGAGCTGTCTAAGGGCTTCCTTCACCGCAGACCGACTCTGGAGAAGGCGGAGCTGGGCCAGGAGAAAGAGGCATTGAAGTCAGTGCTCCTGGGTCCCCAGAGTGACTTCACACAACCTTCCTGCTCCTCCATCTTTGCTTCGCAAGGACGCCAGCTCCTTCCCAGCACCCCCACACAGACACCACAGGTCAGGAAAAGATCGGAGGGAAAACAGGCTCTCCCTCCAACTCCAGGACACCCAGCAGCACAGGGCAGAAAAGAGGGGTTTTTAGTTATTTTTTTGTTTTGAAATCAGACCCAAACATTTTAGCAGGAGGATCTTCAGCCAGCTCCCTGTTAGGGGTAAGTATTAAGGATTTGCTCTTGACCAAAGAGAGACCTGGCCTTTGTCCTCAGTTTCTGAGAGGTAATCTGCATCAGACTTGATAGGAAGGTCTTTTGTTTTGGGTACTAGCTGCCAGGCTGCATCTTAGGGTGGGCCTCACCATACCCAACATTCTTAGGGTGGGGCTGGCCATGACCAACATTCTTAGGGTGGAGCTGGCCATACCCAACAATCTTTGGGTGGGGCTGGCCATACCCAACAATCTTAGGGTGGGCCTGGCCATACCCAACAATCCTAGGGTGGGGCTGGCCATACCCAACAATCTTAGGGTGGGGCTGGCCATGACCAACAATCTTAAGGTGGGGCTGGCCATACCCAACAATCCTAGGGTGGGGCTGGCCATACCCAACAATCTAAGGGTGGGGCTGGCCATACCCAACAATCTTAGGGTGGGGCTGGCCATACCCAACAATCTAAGGGTGGGGCTGGCCATACCCAACAATCTAAGGGTGGGGCTGGCCATACCCAACAACCTTAGGCTGGGGCTACTCATCCTAGAGAAGGACCAAGTGATTTGGGTGGGGGTTTTGGGTCATGGGGTATCAGTTGACCTAATCAATCAGGTCTATATTTCTCTATAGTCAAGTCAATTAGTGATGCCTATGTGATGAAGCCCTGGTGGACCAGGTGCGTCCCTGGTAGGCAGTGCCCATGGGGCGAGGACACCGGAGCTCAGGTTGTGAACACCCCCCACACCTGGACTTACACACCTACTTCCTTGGCTGGTGCTACTCTGTGCTCTTTCCCTGTAATAACCCGCACCCCTGAGAGAAGAGCTTCCAGTGAGTGCTGGGAGTCCTAGTCCTGAATTACTGACCCTGAGGCTGGTTTCAGGAAACTCCCAAACCTGCAGTTGGCGTCAAAACTGAGGGTGGCCCTCAAGCCCCCAATGTGGCTAACTCTGGGGAGGGGACTGCGATCTGGACCCGAGTGATGGGTACTAGCTGCCATCACAGGGTGGGGCTGGCCATACCCAACAATCTTAGGGTGGGGCTGGCCTCACTTGGAGTCCATCCTGCTCCCTCCAGTCACACTGTCCAGGGCGAGGAGAGGCTGCATCATCCAAACTCAAATCTCTTCTGGCCTCCAGAGAGGGTGACATGAGTCAGGATGTGGCAGGCGGACAGGAAAAGCTGACCCCATAAACGCATGCACACTATCAATGCAGAACACCGAGGTCAGTGGTTACTTACTGCTAAGTTGGAATACTTAGAATATGAAAAGTATTTCAGATATACCGTCAGTGGGAAAATAATGTTACCAAAACAAGATGGTACAATACCTTGTCAACTTCTCTATATAAGCCCAGCCATGGTGGCTCAGTGGTTAAGCTTCAACCTATGACCCAGGAGGTCACAGTTCAATTCCCGGTCAGGGCACATGCCTGGGTTTTGAGCTCGATCCCCAGTGTGGGGTGTGCAGGAGGCAGCCGATTTAATGATTCTGATTTAATGATTCTCTCTCATCATTGATGTTTCCATTTCTCCCCCTCTCTCTTCCTCTCTGAAATCAATAAAATATATTTTTTAAATTCTATATATGAATATGTACACATAATATAGTGTGCGTATATATTCATATATGTGCTATATGAATAAATATACACACATATGGAGACAAACACACAGATACTGACAAACAGACCATAAGACATCAACAGAGAAAGAGAGAGAGAGAGAGAGAGAGAGAGAGAGAGAGATATCAAAGTAGAGAGGAGTAGAAGAAAGCATCCTGAAAAGTGTATATCCCTTGCACAGCAGGCCTGAAACTGCTAACCTTAAGCCTGCTTGCAAGACTGGTCCTTGGCTGGACTTGCAGGATTCTCGCCATTCCCTCACTGAGGACAGTGACTCATGCTCCTGGAATGTTTGTATGTGCTATGCAGAGGGTGCCTACGTGACTGACACCTGATAGAAACCCTGGCTCCCAGGCTGTGAGCTCCCCCACAGACAACACTGCATGTGGTTGGACTCTGATGGAGGGAGGATTAGTCCTGTGTGCCTTTCCCTCGGCTGACTGCCCTGGACCCTTTCCCTGTAATACCTCTTGGTCACGGGTAGGACAATGGGTTGGATCCTGAGTCCACCCAGAGTAGGGGTGGGGAACCTTTTTCTGCCAAGAGCCATTTGGATATTTATAACATCATTCCTGGGCCATACAAAATTATCCACTTAAACATTAGCCTGCTATATTTGGTCAGACATTTAATTAACTTAGAAAATAAACTTTCTATCTCTCCATCTAGAGCAGGGGTGGGCAAACTTTTTGACTCGAAGGCCACAATGGGTTCTTAAACTGGACCGGAGGGCCGGAACAAAAGCATAGATGGAGTGTTTGTGTGAACTAATATAAATTCAAAGTAAACATCATTACATAAAAGGATACGGTCTTTTTTTTTTTTTAGTTTTATTCATTTCAAACGGGCTGGATCCGGCCCGCGGGCCGTAGTTTGCCCACGGCTGTCCTAGCACCTGTTAGGGCACAGCACTTACCCCAGGGTCAGGCTCATTGCAGGCACTGAACAGAATTATGATTTGGCTCAACATTCTACTTTTT